CAAAAGTACGTAGGCACCTGCCTCAATGACAGAACAATAAAAAGCACCAGCACTCACTCATTCCCCCTTTTTTCTCTACTACCTACTTGTAATCAAAAAACAAACAGGCAACTCGAACGCATCGAAGCAGTTCGTGATAAAATGGATGGCATTGAGCTTAGCATGCGCCAGCGACGAAACTCTCGTCAGCATCAGGTTATCAAGATGAAGAACCTCGACGCTACGCCTAGGTCACACCGCCACACCAAGTACTCCAAAATTACTATTGACAGTAGGCGAGTAGAGAATGTGTAGAGGCAACAAAGATATTTAGTTCAATTGCAATTTTTTGTTTATATAAAATAGTAGTGTCAAAAGTGTGAAATTGCACATTGCTTAGCAAAAATGAAGAAGAAAAATACTTTACAAAAAAAGATAAATAGATGCCGGTTACAAGCGTGTGAATTTGGTAGCGGTCACAGTCTGCCAACTGCAGACAGTCTGGCAAAGTGTGTGTCCACTAGCAAACTGACAGTCGCCTGTTAATTTAGGTGCATTTTGCTGCGAGCAGTTTAATACAGTTCGGTTGCCGGAGACTCTCCCCTTCACTGCCTTCTCTTCCTCTCTTGACGTTGGCTCAACCAAAATAGGAATCACCAAAGAGCTTGGAGTAGCGTGCCCAGGGGTCTCTCACCGGGCCCTCCGCGTTAAGTCCATTCGAGCTGCCGCCGCTGAGCTTCTGCTGGTAGCAGTAGGCACTGCGAAGCAGACTGATGCAGCAGCTGTGAAAGCGCTTGTAGATGAACTCATTCTCAATGACGCACAGCGAATTCGAAGAGGTAAAGTTGCCTTCGCCGGACTCCACAAAGTACGAACAGCACTGCTCGGTGGGAAGGAGGTTGCCGGTGTCCTTCGTTGACCAGGGCTTGCTCCCACAACGACAGTTCACCACCACTGAGCTGATAGGAACGCTAAAGACTAATCATTTGAACAAGAGAGAATGTTATTGTAGTCTAGCTGGGAAAACTCAACAAATTAAACAATTTACCAAATACAAACGCTGCCATAAGAAGCAGTGAAGAAAGGAATTTCCGAATTGTGACAGTCATTTTTGAACAGGATGAAGGAGAGGTGTGCGCGAAATGAGACAAAAAATCAAATGAGCTGTTACTGCACAGTTATATCGCTATGACACTTAATTAATTACACAGGTAAAATCATAAGATTCATTACTGAAACCCAATAAAAAAATAGTGCAACAGTAACCGAGAGCAGTTTTCAGCTGAAGGTCTCTTCGATTAAAGCAGGAAGAGAGGCAACGGTGGATCGATATATACAACAACACTTCCCAGAGGAGTGCTTTGAAAACAAGTTTCCATAACTGTACAGGCGAAAATCCTTGATGAGGGAGAGAGAGAAAACAAGATCACAGATATCACACCAAAGCATTAACTGACGCAAAAGCGTGAACCAGGCAGCTGACAAAGATATCTTGAAGTTTCCTAAAAGTGCGACACTTAAATACTGACCCCGTTATCTATGAAAGACGATTTGCGGCAAATGAGAGAGAGAGAGCATCCGGAACAAATTAGCGAAACTTAATTACTTTGTAGAGGAAAACGAGAAAAGGGTAAAATGAGGACTAAAAATATGCAGTCTGGTAAGATATTTGCCTGTACCTGATCTACTAAAATAGAATTAGGGGTCAGTCAATTAATCTGATACACTGCCATTTAACTGCAAGGGGCATCTTAAGTGCAAATAAGTCAAAGTTATAAAAATTATTGATGATTAATGAGAATGAAATCGGATATTGACTCTTTAAAGTAGTCATAAACAGTAAATTGGTAACATATCGAAAGAGTAATTAATTTCAAAAACGTGTGCATAAACAAATGAATGTCTGCAAACAAAAATGGTCACTAATCTGCTGAATATAAACCGTTAGTTACTTACCAAGCAAACCAACACATCAACATCGGCAGTTTATTGATTTGTCTGGAGTATTTTCAAGAAAGATGATATAACATCTCATGACATTCTTGGTAAGTGGGCAATAGTGGCGGTGACATTAAATTGACATTACGAATCCACTTGCATTGAAGTGCCCGGGCCATGCTTATGCGGCAGTTTGGATTTAGCACCAGCATGTCATCAAGCAGATCAAGTGCAGCCGGCGGCAGGTGAGCGAATTTAGAGCGCAGACATCGCTCGTGGTCAACTTTGAGCTTAAAGCTTCTCCAAAATGGTAACTTGACAACCTAAAACAGTAAAGTAGCATTTAACAACAAGATCAATTCTTTTTATCCGACAAACCCAACTTACTTCAGGCCAATTAGTGATGTTTGGAGTGCCGCAACATGCAGAGATCAGCTCAAACTGATCTAGCTCAGTCTGACCCTTGAAGATTGGCTCACCAGCAAACAGTTCAGCGAGAATTGCCCCACAACTCCAAACATCGATGGCAGGCCCGTACTTTTCTTCGCCCAGCAGCAACTCCGGTGGTCTGTACCATAAAGTAACGACTTCGTTAGTGTACCTTTGTTTTTGGTCTTCGAGATCATACAGTCTAGTCAGTCCAAAGTCGGCGAGTTTGATTTGGCCGCGTTTGTTCACCAAAATATTTGAACACTTGATGTCTCGATGAAAGAAGTTTTTACTGTGACAGAATGCGAGGCCTTCTATGATTTGTCGCATGACATAAGCGATATTCTCCGGTTGCCAGTATACCAGACCTGACTCAAGTAGGCCTTTTAAATCATGCTCCATGTACTCGAACACCATGTAAAATGACTTTCCAACTTTGGCACGTTTTGTTTTCTTTGACTCAACGTTGTGGGTGAAAATCTCTAAAAGCTGGACAATGTTCTTGTGCTTTAGCTGTTTGAGCGATTTTAGTTCGCGAATCTGCAAGAAATAAAACTGTCAGTTGTCGTTGATTGAAAATGCTTTATTTACTCACAGAGCTCATAGGAAAACCTTCAATTTCCTCTTCATCTTCCAGGCAGATCTTTTTCAGAGCAACAATTCTGTAAGGGTAATTAACTGAATTGTAAATATTGATCAAAATAAACTTTTATCAACTAACTTATTGGAGGAATCCTTTGCCTTGTACACTTTTCCGTAAGATCCCTCTCCAATTCGTTTGATAATCGTGAAGTCACCAATGCAAAGAGTCTTATTTCTTAAGCGAACATTATCAGCCCGCTGAAATTCTCTGCCGACTATGTAAGGTTTTGGATACAAACTAAACGGTAACGCCTCAAAATAGTCTTGAAGGGTACCAGACATATTGAAACTTTTTGACAGAAAAAAACAATTTAAAAAGATTGTTTGATACAATCTCCCATTGTTTTAAAACTTTGACTAGCTCATATCTTTCATGACTGAAAGAGCACACAAAACGCAGAATGACAAGATGAGTCACGGCGAGAAATAGTGCGTCCTTTCAGGAAGTTTCCGCGTGTGTGGCTTTTGGCAAGTTTTCCTGAGGAATTATCAAAATAATCTGACCGCTGAAAAGAATATTGGTAATCGGCTTTTTTTTGTTTCACTACTAGTTTAAGGCTGAAAAGAGGGCAGTACACTCCAATGCACTTTAGCAGTATTTTTTCCAAAGAGTTGTAGCCCACCAGTCTAGTATAATCTCTCCCCACAGCAGACAGGAACTTCTCCCAGTCATTAACAGGTGCTCATTTGGCTGAACCAATAACAAGGCTATTTGATAGCACTCTAATTGCACTGCTGGCTAGTCGAAACACCACCTGTTAAACACACACAGACACACGTGAACAACGGAGAAGCCATGGTATGATACAAAAGCGTATAAACGTTTAGTTGCCCAAACGCTGGCACCACCATCTGAGCACAGCCAACAATCATCAGGATGATCCGTTCCACTGGGCACTTATACCTGGTGCTTCAAATAGCTGCCCTTTCTGGTGAATACTTGCCGCAAGTACCCTCACCTGATCACACTACTTTAACGCGACCTTTTTTGTGTAGGCACTCTGGCACTTCCAGCTCCTTGTCCCTTGCACTGGATCCCATTTGAGTCCGCCTCTTGCTTGAAAATCTTTGAAAACCTGCCCCTGCAAACCTTCACTTCTGCTTCTGCCACCTGTAAATCCCTGAATGCTCACCTTTTGATGATTAAAACGCCCGAGCAGCAGAAGGTCATCTCAAATCTTCTCAGCACAATCGGTCTGGTGGACAACATATGGCTCGGGGCTCACGTTGTTAAAGACAATGTCTTCTGGATTGATAATGATATTCTGAAGTATGCTAACTGGGCAGAAAAAGGCCCTCGACGTAAAGCGGGCTACTGCGTTCAGATGATGTCTGATGAAGAGGCACAAGGACAGTGGATCGACGTTCCCTGTGGACGGAAGAACTTGGTGGTCTGTCAAGGGCTAAGTCAAGTGGCCAACAAAAATGGTTATCACTACAACTACTACAATGTTCCCTTCATAGAGGAACTAAAGAGAATTAAAGAGTCACTTGAAAAAACGGAAAATCGCCTGAAAGAACTAGAGGGAAATCCCATTCCGATGGGCTTCATCTACACCCAACTGCCAGGACAGACAGATCCGAGCTGTCTCTGGCCACAGCTTTCATTCGAGGACGTCACCGCTGAGTACGCGGGTTACTTCTTTCGAGCCCAGGGCGGAACTTCAAGCGCATTTGGCGCTCCACAGGAGGAGAGCTCACCTCGACTGTCCGCCGTCTTTGGGGAGCACTCCTACGAGGTGCGGCCCACCCTGGGCGAGGTCCTGTTGAGGCCGGGCTGGAGTGGCAATGTTTTTGCCGGATACGAGCCGCAGTCAGGCACCGGTCAAGGCTGGGCGGTGATGAGGTTCAAAACGGATGCCGCGGAAGTACGTCCAAAAAACATGGCTGTCAAGATTTGGCGGCGTTGTTAAGCGACACACACTAGTTTAAACTGAATAAAATTGTTTTAATAACTACTAGGAAAGTAAAGGGACAACAGGTAAGCTTCAACACCTCAATGACCAAATGATCTAAAAGACATTTAAAGTTTCATCAGAAGTTTTAGTTTTAGTGCCCATTTGGCTTTCCACAACACGTAGCAACGACTCGGCTGAGTCGTGAATCTGCTCTAGTTCTCCGACTTTATTTTCATGGCTCTGCGTGTCATCGTCCGATGCTACGACGACAGATTGCAATATTTTAGTTATAGGAACAAAATAACGATTCAGTTTTTCACCGTCATCTTCATTTTTATGGCTGCAAAGACAAAATATTGCAATTTGACAGTTGGGCAAACTTGTAGCAAGCATTATTTTAAAAAAATTACCGAGCAAGCATAGTTGTGATGCCTTCCATTTCACCGATTATTTGTTGAATCATGTCACCTACGTCGCTATTGTCGGCATCCTCATTAGACTCATCCTCGCTAGAAGATATAGTTTCCTTACTCTCGTTTGGAGACTCAACATTACTGATGTATTCATAACTGTTTTCTACTTTTTCATTGGAAAAATCATCATTTGAATAGTCATTCTTGTCTTCCGAAGATTCAATGTTTGAGTGTTCGTTTTCATAATCGTCGTCAGCATCGTCATCATTATTATTCATTTTTTCCCCATCTGAAGAGTCTGCGTTTGAGTATTCATGTTCTTCATAATCGTCACTACCGTTATCATTATTATTGATCTCTTCTTCATCGGAGTCAGTGTCAGCGTTTGGGTATTCGTGTTCCTCATAATCGTCGCTATCGTTGTCACTATTATAATGTTTTTTCTCACCAGAAAAGTCAGTGTTTGAATATTCGTACTCATAGTCATCATCGTCATTATCATCTTGGTTATAATATTCATAGTTTTTGTTACTTGGATCGTAGTCATAATTGTCCTTACTCGGATAGTAATCATAACTTGCCAACCCTTTGAAATCTTCATCATTGTTTGTTATTTCTGAAGGATCGACAAAAGCGGTTTGTCCGGGCATAAGAATACCAGGAACAAAAAAATGAACGAGAACTTCCAGTAGACGGCCAATAATAGCGAGAGAAAAAAGAAGGGGAGCAGCAATCATATCAATGGTGAGTAAAGGTAGTTTAAGAACGGTGTTAATGATTCCGAAGATGCCGTCAAGAAGAACACTAATTTTCATCATTTTGCCATGAGAAGGTACACGAAGAGTTTCAATTTCGTTGCTTAACTGATAATTAAGATGTTGAAGAACACCTTTTTGATCTGTTTGTGTAAAAAGGTAAGTAAAAGTAAAAATTGGAACATTTTGATAAATACTTTTGACAAGACCAAATAAATCGGCATGTGATGTCTGTGTGAAACTTGTCAACAAAATACAACAGGTTATAAAACTGATCTTCATGATATATTCAGTAATGATCATAAATTTGAAAACTGCACCAAAAATTAAAAAAAATTTTTATGTTAACTGAAAAAGTATTATTTATACAAGACAATATAAAAAATTTTGTTTAACGCTGATATTTCCCACTAATTGCTACAGTAATTAAACGAAAAAGGTTTTGTAAAGCTACCCTTTATGGAATGATGCCCGTAAAAACAAGCTTAACCACTCATTGACTTTTACTGAGCCATTTATTTGTTTCTTAATACTTGTTGGTGAAACTNCCCACTAATTGCTACAGTAATTAAACGAAAAAGGTTTTGTAAAGCTACCCTTTATGGAATGATGCCCGTAAAAACAAGCTTAACCACTCATTGACTTTTACTGAGCCATTTATTTGTTTCTTAATACTTGTTGGTGAAACTATGGTTAGTTTCAAAAATTATTAAAGGTTAGTTTGCCAGGTAATGTATGTTTACTGAAACAAAAAGAATATAGAAATATTGTATAAACAAAAACAGTACAAAAACAACACTTTTAAACTTACAAAAAAATTTTTTTGTTTTATTTTCATTTGCTAACTAAAATAGAAAATGTTTTTTTGTTTGTTTTTTGCTCACTGTAACAATCTGTTTTACAGTTTTTCCAGTTGGTATTATTTACTACACAGAATTAATGAGTAAGAAATTGTTTAGTTCTCATCGAAAAACTGACAAAATGGACTAAAACATGGGTGTTGTTTTTTAAAAAAGTTTAAAATTTAAAAGGCGTGTATTTTACAAAACTTAAATACCTGACCTTTTTATCAGGATAGTCAACATTTGAATTTGATTAAATTATCAATTTATGCCAATCAAATTGATTATGACAAATTTTTACATCATTAGTACTCAACTGAATAGGAGTCGCAATCGGAGTTTAAACTGTTACTTATTAGCTCAGCTTCAGTCAATGGAACGTTTATTACAATTGCCAAACAAATGAAACAAACCATTTGCAATTTTAACCAACTTGAAAATAAAAAATCTTTTTAACCCTGAACTTGCAACGTTAATTTTAAAAATTTAATCAATAAAAATTAATTTTTATAAATACTTTTAAATGTTACAAAAGTGTAACCGATCCATTGCGACAAAACTAAATCTTTCTCGCACTTTGAGAGCCACGCCCGGTCAATTGTGAATCTATTAGTAGGCNTAACCCTGAACTTGCAACGTTAATTTTAAAAATTTAATCAATAAAAATTAATTTTTATAAATACTTTTAAATGTTACAAAAGTGTAACCGATCCATTGCGACAAAACTAAATCTTTCTCGCACTTTGAGAGCCACGCCCGGTCAATTGTGAATCTATTAGTAGGCAGAAAATATCTATATGAATTTTAATTTAGTCAAAACAACTAATCGCAGCAAAAAAGTGGGTTTGTGAGAAAGTTTTTTCAGAATCATTGGGTGTGGTCTGGTAACTGAAATCAATTTTCGCATTTTTCCACTTTCACAAATGCTCGTGACACCGGTAATTGTACTGTTACGGTAATTTAATCAAAGGTAATTGACTATAAAAGTTAGTGCAATGATTAATTGTGTATTAAATGTATTAAACATAAAAAACTTTAAATTTAATTACAAAAAAATGTGCAAGTTCAGGTTTTTCTAGTGTTGTTTTAGAGAAAACCGCTTGATCTATAAGATAAAACTAAAAACAAACAATTTAATTATAAACTTTAAACCTTTATGTTTAAAAAAGCGTCTTTCTAAGGCACTTTACCGTTTCACGAAGTAATCACTCATTTCAGTAGATTCCTTACAAACCAAACAAACAACCTTAACCGAAAAAACTTATGCTTTAATTCACCAGTGACCACCGCACATGAGGTGGACAGTTTTGAGCAACAGTAGAGGAGTGTGCAGAGAGCAAACCCCCTGTTTCAAATTACCGTAAGTCCTCGGCAAGTTGCGTGATTCTCTCTGTCTCTGTCTTTCCCTCTCCTCTAGGCCATTTCTCAATTTCCATTAACGGTCTCTCTTCCTCTTTTTCTGTAATCTGCCTGAGCGTGACCAACAAAATCGGCTAGCTTTACAGAAGAAAAAAACGTAAAAGTAAAAGTCTTTTTAAGTTAATAGGCACTTATATTAATAGAAACTGGCCATTGGTCTACCAACTCTCTTTGGCTCAAGTTGCAATTTGTCGCACCGTTAAGCTAACCATCTTAAAGTTGCGCCTCAAGATATTTTGTCAACTTGATAGAACACTCTACCGAAGAAAATGATCATCGCTGAACAGAAGCAGCTGATGTAAATAAAATTTCGAAATGCAAGCTAATGTTTTGTTTTAAAAATATGTCATTTACTTTTGATGAGTAATTGCTAAGTTAAGTTTTTTTATTTGTAAAACTAAAACAAAATCCTGTTACATTTTTTTTGTTAAAAAGGTGTGAACAAAGTAAAATAAACAAAAAATCTTTCTGATTTGTCATTAAAACTTCTTTGCCAGAATAAAAATACGTTCTAAAAACAACAACACAAAACAAGTAAAATCAATTAATAAAAATAATAATTTGTTATGAGTGTTGTTCACCGGAACACTTTGTCTGAAGTCTCTTTTTTTCTCCGGCCGAGTGAACATAATAAATGGACGTTAAATTAATCAACAACTAAAACAACATAGACACTCTCCATTTTTATTGTTGTTTCTATTTGACTGTTTATTAGTAAAAAATAAAAATAAACACTATAGTTTAAAAATATATTAATAAAAACTGAAAGGTTATAGTGAACAAATCAAAAACAAAAAATTAAATTCAAATAAAGCACTATTAACGTGACAATAAAAGTGTAATGTTTCTGAAAAGTAAACAATTTGTTCTAAGCTCTAAATGGTCTGAAAAGTGATCTAGATAAAGAGAAAGCAAATAAAAGCATTTAGCAATGATAAATACGTCCAGATCACACAGAGAAACCTTTTGCTTTTTATATTCTATTAAATATTCATCTGTTTGAGAGTAGAACAACCATCCTAGAATTGCTTTAGGATTAGATTAAAAGAGAATGTTGCGAGTCAAAAACAAACAAACAGCAAACAAACAATGTCTAGGCTTAATATTCGCTAATGTCTTTTTATTGTTCCAAAACGATTAGAAACACTAAAATAGGAAAGACAAAGTTTAACGGAAGTGAAAGAAAAATTCAATAAACGTGAAAATAAATTTATAATATTTTTAAAATAAATACTTGTTAAAATCAAGATTAAAATTTAAAAATCACAACATTTTTTACTGTTTAACTTTTTACAAATTATCTAACCAAGATAAAAATTTAAAAACGTCTATTTAGCGTCTTTTGAGTGAACAAATTACTCTCTAGAGAACCATTTTTCAAAAAATCTGTCTAGTGTCTTTAGTATTTTTGCTAAAAAAGCAATTTTTCAGTATTTAAATCAATTATCATATATAAAAGCAAGAGTAATTGAGAATTCTCAAGCGAGCTAGACTTGTCTGTTAATTAATTTGCCTAATTTCTCATTATAAGTCGAGATAATTGACGAAGCGAATACGACTGCTGTTGCTGCTGATGTTGGTCAGCTTAATTAAGAATTATACAGATGCTAAAAATAATAAAAAAAATAATTACTACTATCTATTTAACTTGTTGTTTAAAAATGAAATTAAAGAGTTTTAATTAATTGATATGTACTTAAATAAAATATTTTTTGTTAATTTTTAATCTAAAATTCAGGAAATGTTCTTGAAAATTAAATATAAAGCCATTGATCAATTAATTGCAAACTCATACATTACAAAAATCAAACGTTTTTTTCAAGTAAACTGTTTTGTTTTCTAAAGTTTGCTAAAAACTGAGTAAAAAATTTATAATTTTAATGTTAACTACAACAATGCTAAAAAATTAATAATGGTTGAGCCAAATCATTTTTGTNTTTTTTTCAAGTAAACTGTTTTGTTTTCTAAAGTTTGCTAAAAACTGAGTTAAAAATTTATAATTTTAATGTTAACTACAACAATGCTAAAAAATTAATAATGGTTGAGCCAAATCATTTTTGTAAAAAACTAAAAACAAACAAACTTTATATTTCAAACATTAATTTTTTTAAAAAATATTCTGTCAGTTGCAGGCTCTGGCAAATTGGTTCAGCGATCAAATTTTACAAAAGAGCAATATGATTAGAATATAATCCCACTCAACGGTATGTAAACAGATAAAAATGGCAAAATTGAATTTAAAAAAGGTAAAAAATAGGACAATTCGAATCCTTGTTTTACTTTTTAAAACTGAAAAACCAACAAAAAATTTTGACGTTATTAATTTTTAAACAAAAAATTAAACATTTTGAGATTTTATACTTTTAACTCTGCATCAGGCTTTACTCTAATACTTTTATCATTGATTATTTTGTAAAGTTCCCTGTAAAGCATTTTGCTGTGTTCCAGCCTAAACAATTGATCCATTAGTTGCACATGTTTGGGCATGTGTCAAAATAATCTGGCACTGAGGTCACCAATTTCTTTTCTAAATTCATAAATTTTCCGCCCCTCAATTTGCGTAGTGTAAAGCGTCCCCAAAGCAAAACGGAAATTCTGTGCAATTTTTCAACGTCGCCTAGCTCGGTTAAAAGT